GCTGTCACTAGGAGAAGACATCTGCTTAGTACATTCAATATTTTCACTTTGATTCTCAACAGGGAGGTCAGAGCCCATGCAAAAAAGTCCCCCAAAATATTTTGTTACCACAAATATTTCTTTTAAGACTGGGGTACTTTGTTTATTCATTGTAAGCTCCATAAAGTATTTAACTGATTCTCTTCCTGTAAAGCAAAGCACTCATGATTTCTGTGCTCAGATCTGGACATGAGACATTTACCATTAGTGAGATATGGTGCAAGATACTGGATGGTATTAAATACAAAGACTAATGGCTTCTGCTTTAATTATTACGCTTTTGTTCAGATGAGATACTAGAAGTTTGGATTTTTCCCCAACTAAAATGAGATCCAGAGAGTAAGGATTGTTAGTGAAATTATCAACTTCTTTACCAGTTCTTAGTGTTAATTTCACAAAAATTCATTAGAAGAAAGGAATAGTGCTAGTTATGGTTTGGATGTGCCAAAATGTTTCAGGGAGTTCTTTCTTCTAGGCACTAGCAAGTCCCTTTCCTCATTAACCAAAGATACAGTCTAGGAAAACATTTCAATCCTTAAATCCACCCTGTTCAATGGAACACTTAAATCTAAGCTGAAATCTCTCTGGGCTCAAATTGGATTTAAGCATGTCCTTAAAATGAAGTATGCTACATTAGCACATGGCTGGACTGTGCTTCTCAGCACTGGAATATAGCAGTTTTACAAAACTTTACCATTTCTGAGGCACAGGCTACTATGACCTAGACTGTAGAGGAAGCAGAGCAGGGAGCAGAGCCTAAAATGTTTACAGGAAGGTTTATACTTTCCTGAGCTACCCCAAACTCACCACGGCCAACAGTGAAATGATATGGAATTAGACAGGACTGATGGCCAGGTAAAACTGAGCATCTTGTGAACCACTTGCAACTCCAAGATGTGCCCAGAGATGGAGGGTTTGATGATGGTTACTATCTCTGATACACTCACAGAAAATTGGGGAGTTAGTTGGCGACTGTATTTCTCACCAGTGAGGATTCCCTTGGGGTTTTGGCCCAGTCTCAATTGCTGTCAGAGATCTGTGACTCACTAAAGTCTGCTCAGTACCGTGTCTTGCATTCCTGTCTGGGTGCAAACATACCTGCAGAGTGGGGAATGACAAAGCTTGGCCCCACTGCTGTTTCTAGATTCATTCTACCAGGCAGCACACGTGTGTATCTCTCAATCAGAAACAAGCACCCTGTTGGGAAATAAATTCAGTCTTGCAGGATGAGTCTTTTCTCTCCCGTCTGCCTAGTATCCATGCTGGTGTTTCCTCATTCCTTCCCCAGTGCCACAGGAATGCTGTTGCTGTGAGCTCAGGTTTTGCATGTGCTTCCAAGAATGCCCTTTAGAGACTGAAGGGTCAAGTGTGACACTGCATGTCTTTCTTGGTGAACACTGGCGTCCTCCTGGCGAGGCGGGTGCGGAGTGCTGTGGTTTGGGGCAGACGAGTCTCCAGTTGATCTAACACTAATTGCATCTGATCTTTGTCTGTAAATTAGGTGGCAGCTCTCCCAAAAACACATGCTTAGTGTGTTTTCCAGCCTCTTTGGCTTTTACCCACAGAAAAATTAGTTCACCAGGTGGGTGACTTTCCTGTTGTTCTGGAATTGTTGCTAGTGAGGGAATATCTCAGTTCCCCACAACTTCATCTGATTAAGAGCTGACTTGCAGCAAAAGTGACTTGGGTTATAAACAAAGCAAACATTTCCAACTGTGAAGCTCTGGAATGGATCCTCTAGATATTCTTATGAGCAGGGTAGGTGAACCCCTGTCAGTTTTGGCAGTGCTGCTCCCGCTTTATGGCCTGAGAGGTGGAATTCCTAAGGGCTCTTCCCATCCTGAGTTTTTTGTTTTGTGATTTTTTGCATACGAAATCTCACTGAAAAGGAGAGACCCAAACTCTGAAAAGCAAGGTTTCACTTGTTGACTTCTGGAAACTTTGCACAGAATGGGGTTCGATAGGAGGTCATGGTGTGTCATTCCCTGTTCTAAACCTTGTGCTGTAGGTTTCTAAGGGCTCCTCCAGACATGGGAAGGTGAGCTGAATGGTTAAAATCACACAATACAGGGAAAGTAGGAGCAGAAGCCAAGTTTCCAATCTCCTAGTCATGCACCTTAAACACTAGAAAACTTAATTTCCTTGAATTAATACTGGCCCAGGCTGACTCCTGTATTCCTGCCTCCTGACTGGCCTATGCAATGTCAGGCATTTCAGTCTTTTGCTGTTTAATTCATTTTGCTGCTATGGTGCAGGGTGCGGTAGATATTACCAAAGGAATGATTGTATGTTTGCCAGTATTTTTGATTCTTTCCAGGCAAAGAGCAGATTTTCACAGCCAGGCTCAACACCTTGAATTTTCTACTTTCATTTCCAAAGTGTATGATATTGGTCATGATAGAAAACTGAAAAAACCCAGAAAATTCATGCTGTGTTTGACAAGGCAGTGACCATTCTGGGCAGCACGTTACAAGGGTAATGGGCTGCAAATCAAACTTCTGCTGCTGTGCTGTGGAGGATTAGTCACAGTTCATCTACCAGCAAAATGGAGGTAGTAGTAGTTACTATCTCAAACTCTGGAGGCTCAAAGCTTAAAACTTTTGGGATCATTTAAAGGACGCTGCTATGGATGGGCACAGTATTCCATCTTCTGTTAACACCACTGGAAAATTTCATAAGCTTGATGGATAAAGAAGCAATAACTGTTGGATATGGAACCAGGAAAATATTTGACCACTAGTTTTGTCTGAAATACTAAATGAAGAACACTTGTCTCTCATCTCAGGCCAAAGGGGTTTTTTTAGTGTTCATACACTTCCCTTAGATACCAGTTGACAAAACACAAGGGCTGTTGCAGCTCTGCGAGAACACTTGAAGAAAGAAAACCAAAACAGGCAACAGTTCCTGTGTCTATCTGCCATCAAGAGCTCCACCATGCTGAGACTGAGAGACGTGGGTGCCAGGAAACTCCTGGTTATGACCACTTGCTCCTGGTGGAAGAAAATCCCATTGTGACTTATCCTCGGGGCGCAATGCAGGAGCGCGACCTTGCAGCCCAACACTCAGCTGGCAGGAGACAGGTGAACTGTAGGTTCTGCAGGAGGGAACTGAACCTGGCTTTACAGGGCCTCAGGCGAAGGCTTTGGCTGCTCCACTTGAGCTGGTGCTGCAGTCTCTTCCATCAGCCGTGCCCGTGTCTTTCACAAGAGGCCACGTTCACAGAGCACTGCACTCTCTAGGTAACACCTACGGCACGGGGCCCTGGTGACTCACGTGCTGTTCGGCTTTGGTTTAGGATTCAGCAGGGTTTAAACACCAGGTAGGTGGCTAGGACAAAGCTGGGGTATTTCTAGTCACAGTCCTAATGCTTAGAAAACACCTGCAGCCATGACTGCTCATGCAGATTTAGCTGCAGTGCTTCTAAGGAGCCAATCTGGCCCTGGAAGGCCTCTGTTCATTGGGGAATTTAGCACCCCTGGTTCCTGGGGGGAATTTAGCACCTCTGGTACACAGGGCCAGTGCAAAACACCAAATCAGCCCTAGAGGGAGGTTTGCACTGAGGACTAAATTTGGGAAATGCCATGCTTTCCCTTCTGAGGGGGTCTGCCAGGGTGGGGTGAAATCTCTTGGGGAGTCTGATTGGGAAGTACACTGGTTTTGGCAGCCAGGGAAGGTGGAGAGAGGCTGAATCACAATGCTCTGCTACAGCTTAAGTATTTTAGGCACTGACTGTCCTTTTTATTGTGTCCAAACGAGCAATCTTGCCCTCCTGGGGCTGTCAAGCACTGACTGTGGACATTAAAGCTGGTAATGGGATAAGATGTAAACATCTTCTTGAAAGCACACACCAGAGCCCTTTATTTTAAAAATGAAATACATTTGAAGTGCCTACAAACTCACCCAGAAATCTCTTTCCAAATGAGTAAGGTTTGGCAAGGCTCCCCTCCACAGCCTGAACACAATGTAACCCTTCTGCCTTCCCGTTCTCTTCAGGGCAGATGCAGATACCGAACAGCTACTTAAAGGGTAACATTCCATTATAAAAACAATCACACTCAACATCCCAATTTATTTTAAAAGGGTAACATTCCATTATAAAAACAATGAGTTGTTTTTATAATGGAATGTTGAGTGTGAACTCAACATCCCAATTTATTTTATTTGCAGTCCTCAGAAATAGCCACAAAACAATCAAACAGAAAGCAATCAGAAAATAAGTCTCCCTTCCCCCTCTCCTTAGTATTTGCAACAAGTCTTGTTTTGAATCTGTGAACATGCAGCTCCTTTGGAACTCCCTGCACCTTTTTTACCCCCTCACCTTGTTCTTTGCCCCAGCTGGGGAACGACAGATTAAAAGTTGGTTGGAGAAGCACCCAAAAAATCAAAAGGAGCCCTGGACAAAACTTCCCTGTGAAAAGTTGCATCCTGCAAGGCACAGGGTGCATTTCTGGGCCTACGGCTCTCCCGGCTCCGGGATGCAGAGCAGGAAGGTGATGCTCGCAGGGTCGGGGCCGCCCCCAGCCCCGTTCCCCCCGCCCAGGTACCGGGAGCCGCTGCCGCCCGCCCCCTCCCCAGCGGCGGCGCGGCGCAGCCCCCTCCCGCCGTGCGGCCGTCCCGGCCCCGGCCCCGGCCCCAGCCCTTACATGGACAAATCTGCCTGCAGGGAAAGGCAGGAATTTGGGCCCTTGACGTCAGCCGCGGGCAGAGCGCGGCAGCCCGGCAGAGCGGGAGGCAGCGGCCGCCGCTTTCGCTTTTTGTTTCGGGGCCGTCCCGCCGAGCTCGGGGCCGCCGGCCGCCCCTCCCTGCCCCCCAGGGGAGGTAAGGACCGGGGTGCCTCCTCCCCCGAGGTATTGTTGCAGATAATAACTTGCCCCCTTCCTCCCCCCACCCCCGTCCGCCCGCCGAGGCAGCTGTGCCACAGCTGGAGCCCCCGGCCGGGGCGGGGAGCGCTGCCGGCCNGGCCGGGCCCCCCGAGCGGGCGGGCCGGTGCCGCAGGTGCACCTGGCCCGGGCGGGTCTGCCGCAGCCCCACCCCGCCGACCCCCGGCCGCGGCTCGTAGTAAATAATCAGTTGAGTAAAGCTCCGGCAGCTTTTTATATGCCGGGGGAGGCCCTGCCTTCCCCACCAGGTAAGGACGGAAAAGTTTCCCACACCCTGACGTCACCCACGGCTTTTTTTTTTTTTTTTAAGCGTAAGTTTTTTTTTTGCCTTCCCCCTTTCTTGCTCTCCTCTTTCAAACAGGCAAACCTTACTCCTGCCATTGCTCAGGAGCACTCCCCGCGCCCCGGGGCCGTGCTGGGAAGCCGGCAGTGCTCCCGAGGAGGCGTTGATGAAGCAACTCCTGCCTAATTGCTCTGCCTCCTGTACCTCGAGGTGCAGCTTGGCCCTGCCGGTGAAACAAACCAGAGTTGGCTTCTCCTGCTTTGTTTTCATTATTTTTTGTTTGTTTCTTTTTCCCTACACTTGTGGGAATTGACTTTTTAACCCAGTTGTGTTGTTCTTGAGTTAGTTTCCTGTCTGTTTCTTTCTGTTTTGCCAGGCAGTTGGTACACAAAAGTTTAAGGAGCTTGCAGGAGCCATAAAACCTGCTGATCTGTCTCTCTGCACATCTGCAACACCTTGGTCCCTCTGCACAAAGGGGTTTTGACCCATGCGAAAAAGGAAGGTCTCACATAGATGCCATAAGTGGTTTTGGACACATTCCAGGATTTCTGTGCTTCCATTGACTTACCTGTAGAGTTTGTGCTTGTACATTCCAGGAATGATTTCTGGGGCAAGAGCTGAGAGAATGGGGAGTGCCTGGGAGCTGGGTGATACAGCAGGTGTTGGCTCATCAATTAATTAGAGAAATGGGATATTAGGAAAGTATGGGAACATGCAAACCTGGAGAAGAAAACACAGCATTTCATCTCTATGTTAATAATGTGGCTGTGTTCTTGCTGAAAAATGTTGGCTGCTGTCCTGTTTGTAGTTCAACCTGCTCTGCGGCAAGACAGTTTAGGGATGTGGGGGACTTTCTAATTATCCCCACCGTTGCTGAAGCAGGACTGGCCCACATAAGGCTAAATAATACTCTGTGATTTCCCTTGGGAAATATGCATGTCTGTGGATAAAGTTTATTGTTGAAAATTACTCTCTGTCTGTTGGCGTGGTCTGTCTCACCCTGCCCACCTTACAGCCTGTTGCTCCTAATTTTATTAGCTCTGTTATTCCCCTATTTCAATTGTTTGGCCTTTGTTGGAGGTTTTTCCCTGTGGGATGGGCTATCAGCAGCTCATGGGGTGGATGGTGTCCACAGAGCCACCTGTCAGCAGGCCCCTACCCTCCCTGTCAAATCCTGCCTTTAACTTTGTTATGTGATGCAGGTGTTGCTAATGGGTCCTTCAGGCTTGTTGCTGTTGTTCCATAAAAAGTTTTAATTTAATTGTTTTATTCAGGTTTTCTTTTTCCACCTGGCTCAGCTTGTGTGGGCTGGGAAAACCTGCCAGATCAGGGACACCTGGGTCCAGCAGAGCAGCAGCACTAAGTTGCCATCAGGAATGGTCTGGTGGAGAGATGCTGTGTAATGGGTAGGAGACCTGCTTCCCAAAAGTCACTCCCACCCTGTGTGTTGTGTGGCTGTGGGCACGTTGGCTGTGTGTGTCCCATGTTGCCAGCAGTCCTGGTTGGTGGCATGCAGCCCTTGTATGCTGTCTAGGTAAGCTCCAGGGTGGAAATGAAACACATGTCCATGAAAATGAAGCTAGAACTGTCTCATTAAAGTTTCTTTAGGTGCAGCTCCAAGCCGCTCTGAATTGCTGATGTTCAGTCTCCATGGTGCCTGGGTCAGTGAAAATTGCTGCTTTTCTTGCTATACAGCTCTGTCTTGTCTCTGTCTTGTCAGCTCTGATTGCCTGGTGTGGTTGGTACTGGTGGGGCAGAGATGCTGGTATTGAGCTGGGGGAGAAACACCAATTCCTGTTGCTCAGAGGTGAGATTTTTACCTTTAGAACATGTTTGGAGATAGCCTGGGTGTCAGGGCAGGGTGCTGGTGAGCATGCCCATCTCAGTGTGGGTTCCAGATCTGTGAATCCTTTCTCTTACTTGTGTTTGGTAGAGAGTCCCCCAGCTTTAGGAGATACAAGTATTGAATGATGTTGTCTGTGATGTGCTGTTGTGAAAGGAAAAACGGGCCAAAGCTTGGCTCTACACTGGCAGTCAGAAGTGATATTGGGATCTTGGGAATTCTGGTTAGTTCACCTGTCTTGTCTCCTGGAAATTTGCAGAGCACGTTTTATTTCCAAGTTGGATTCTGCTGAGAAACACCCTCAGCTGTGCTGCATTAGTGGGGTAATGGGCACAATGAGGAACTGCTGCAGTGTCATAAAAGCTATCAAGCAGTGTGATGGCAGATTCAGGTGTGTATCCCTTGCTAAATCACTTGTTTCTCTAGGACGTCCAGGGATGAAGCTCCAGAGCTGGACTAGTGAGTTTTGCAAGGTACCTAATATTGTTGGTTGCAATGTCAGGGGAGCTGGAGTGCTTTTCTAGATATTACCATCAGTATGTATTTTTAATTATAACTCCTAGTAAGAATTATGCTGTGGGGGTTCATGCTCAGAGTGGAGACACCATTCTGTTTTGGAGCCTGGCTGTTGCCTTGTTTGTTAAAATCACTGCTTGTGTCCACCAGCTTTCTGTAAAACTTAATACACCTGTGATCAGTCCAACTTCGTGTATGCAGTTTTGGAGAGGGATAGTAAGAATGGCTGTGAGCTGGAAAACTTGAGAGAGTTCTACAAGCAGTATGGGATCACTCCTGTTAAAAGGACACATGTCAGAGAAGCAGTGAGTGCTGTGGGAAAGGGATGTCTATTCCTTTGTAAAAATGAAAACCAAGGGGAAAGTGGTGGATTCAAAATGAAGAAAGTGCTTTTCAGTGTAACTAATGGTGCCATTTATCATGCAGAATGTTGCTGAGAACAAGAGTTTAGCCAAGTCTGAAAAGAAGATGGGATGGTTGTATGAGAGTCAGGGACATTGAGAGTTGTACCAGCTCATGGTGGTGCCCATTGTATCATAAACATCTAATTGGAAAGAAGAAACAGTTTCATGTAGGTTTCCATGAAACATCTCTGGCTGACACTAGATAGACACAGATAGAGAAAAGCAGTAGCTTGGGTGGATGACAAATTGTTCCAAGAGCACAGTTTCCGTGTGTCTGTGGAAACAAATACCCTCAGGGTGCCCACAGTGGTTTCTCTATTGCTCTGCCCATCGTGGTTGTGTGAACAATACATTCTCAGTGGCATTTTGTTGCTCCCCAAGCTTCTGAAAGCCTGACCCACACAGCTCTGCCTTTCTCCTACTGAGCTCTTCTCTCCCTGATGTGGCTTTGAGAAACACTTGCACAGTCTGCTCTGGCTGGCCCCAGATGCTGGGTTTCACCTTCAACTGATTGCCCAGGCTCTGGTGTGCTCTCTGGCAGCCCTGCTAAGGTGGAGCTAAGTCCCTGTGAATACATGGTAAAGATGGCATCAGGATGGTGAAAAAATATCCACTGGCCAAGAATAGGTCCCTTCCAAATGAGGAAGGGATTCTTTAGATATGTGCGTGTTTTTTAGGTACTTTGTTTTTGATGGGGAGGACCCTTCAGTAAAGTAAGATGAATACAAAGTCCATGTGACCCAGCAGAAGTCTGTGATTCAGCATCTGTGTTTGCTGTGTGCACATGTGAGTGTGACAGTGATGCTCCTGTCTGGAGACAAGGTCCTCCACAGCCAGTCTTTCACCCCAGTAGTTTCCTCATCTCCCTTTGCTCTTGCTCTTGTATCAGTGTAGTTCTGTGAAAAGCTAGAGAGATTACTGCAATTGCAGCCAGAGCAGAGGAGGAAGGAGCAAAGGAGATGGAAACCATAAATTATGAAAGGATGTGGGTTATCTGATGCACAGATTCACAAGGAACAATGCCTTTAAAGAGTGTGGGTTATACATATGAAAATACTTGAAATAACTTTACAAACAAGGGTTCCAGAGGAGGGATTGGAGGGAAGATCTTGTGCTTGATGTCCATGTGTGCACTGGAAGAGAGAATCAGTAAAGTTTGAAGAACTTAGTGTTTTTCTCTTTCTGATTTAGGAAGCTCTTTGTTTTGCAAAATAGAAACAAACAGAGAAAAGAAAACAACAAATCAAACCGAAAACCACAGACCAGAAAAACCCCCCACAAAACATTAAAGCTTTTGAGAGCTTATGCCTTCCTGAGAAGCAGAGTTTAACAGGGTTAGTTCTTTTCTTTCATCCTTCTCCTGGGCATGGCAGGCCATGTAGGTCTGGCGATGTTTTCCAGTCCAAAAAGAAAACAACCTAAACTTGTTACCCACACTTAATCATTGCAATTAAGGTTATCGGTAGAGACAGCTCAGTGGAGATTCTGTTGTGATCTCCAAGAGCTGGTTTCGATCAGGTTCTGGGCAACTGCAAGAGCTGGCATGAAAATGATCATTTTTTAAGTCACTGTCAGCAAGTCTCTGTCATTTTAGACTGTCAGTATCTGTTGTTGGGATCTGTGGGTGACAGTGACACACACGTGTGAGTCAGAAGAACTCCCAAACTATCACAATATGCTCAGGGAAGGAAAACAAACATCGGTGGAGTTGTGGGCTGCTGATAACCTCTTCTTAGACAACGTTGTAAGCTTTGGAGTGTTGCAGGCTGTTAGGATGTTTTCTGTTGATCTTGATGGCATAAGGGAACCTTGGAATACTGTGATTCCTCAGCAAACCCATAAATTACTTAGGTTGGTTTGGGGGCAGGGAGGGATGCATGAGGGTCTCTGGCTTATGCCAGTTTTGTTGCTGGGTAATAGCCCATCAGCCCTCTTTGGGGTTTGCAGATCTTGCTGGGAGAGATCCTGTCTTGTGCCTTAGAGAGTTTATGCACATGAATACCCTCTAAGTAGGTGCCATTCAGCTCCTGGCTGCCCTCCTCCCCTTGCTCCTGCTGCTCAGTGGTGCTTCCAGGCAGGAAAACTTCCTCCAAATCTTGGATGATTGTGCTGCCAGTGGAATAGTTAGTTGAGATTTAATATGGCCATTATCTTTAGGTAATAAAGTATCAGCTAACTTGCCATAACTATCTTGTTTAATGT